GAGTCCGGTCCAGGTGAACAAATGGGCAAGAAGGACCTTCTGAGCACAGTTCAAAGATGCTTTGCTTTGATTTACTTGCAAAGCCGCCTGTTAGCAGAACGAAGCGTGGCTGGGGAGTAAGGCAGCTGCAGCTGCCCGTAGCCACCTTTGTTTCCTGGTAAGCTTGGTGGTCTTGGAAGCCTGAAAAGAGGGAGATGTCTGGGATGAGGGGAGCTCAGATTGTGGGCTTCCTGCTGTCCATGCCTCCAGCCACATGAGCAGCCAGAACAACTTCTGCTGCCAAGGAAGGCAAACACCTAGTGGCTCAGCCTGCAGCCTCAATCAGGCTGATGTCTGCAGTCCAGCCTTGGGGTGCTGGCAATGCCCAGCCTGGGGCAGCCTCCCCTCATCTACATCTGGGCAGGAGTGTGCAGTTCAGCCTTGGTCTACCACAAATATATTTAGTCTTCAAGTTCACAAAGGTGCTCCTGGGCTCCTCTTGAATTATCAAGGGCTAAAGGACATCTGTGTTGATTCGGCTCTAACTCCCTGGGCTGGGCTTCCCGTGTTGCTAATCACTTTGCCTCATCTCTTGCTGATTACTCTTGATTGCAAAAGCCTGCTCTTCAATTGCTGCCTGATTCTCTTTGTCTCTCAGAACTATTTCTTCTGAAAAACAATTCATCCCTTACACACATGTGACTCTCATCATTTCCTCTTCATTTCAAATGTTTATTCTCTCTACTTTTGTTTCCATAGCAGTCATGTGTGTCCTCTTACCCTGACAACAGTCTTGCAGCCTTTGTACTCTCTTGAGACAAAGGAGAGGAGGTTCTTCACCGAGGGCCTCCCCAGCTATACACCATCACAGCAGACACAGCCAGTGGTGAGCATGACCACCCATGGTTGGGGATATCATTAGTCTGTGCCAAGCAGGACAGATGGGCTTTCCCCTGAAGCACAGTTCTATTGCCTTCTGTGGAGCTATGTTGGTTTAAGATTCTTAGCAAGAGAGGAACCTCTTTTCTTCCTCCTCCCTATCTCACTTCTTTTTCCCTTCCTCAGTCTCTCAGTGAAAGATGGCTTTGGATCCTTTGTAGAATCCAAAGAAACCAATAATGGCTTGGATTACAAGGGGGAAATTGGGTCCAGTGGAACAGATTTGAGGCTGTCCTGCTATAAACATGAATGAGAAATTAACATGAAAAAGAAACAGATTCATTGTAAGTGACTAAAATATCAGGGTCAATTGTTATTGCAGCATAACTCAGCCTGACCTGAGTTATACAGCCATAAATTCCAGAAAGCAGAGGAGAAACAATAGGGGTATTGGGGGAGTGGGGGAAATTGTGACATGATGAGACAGAAGATTTGGGTGTCGATCAGACATCATTAAGCTTCCAAGGGAACAATTCAGGTTCTGAAAGGACTTAGGACCAGAGGACACAGATGGAGCAATTTCACACTGACTCTCTTTCAGGAAACAGGAGGGCAGGGCTACTGAATATTGGTGCCTCCCCAGAATTTATGCCTGGAGACTCTGTCAGGGTGACGGTATCAGGAGGTGAGGCCTTTGGGCAGTACTAGGGTGGGATGAGAGCATAAGGGCAGAGCCCTCCTGGACAGGATCAGTACCCCCTGAGAGGGCCGCGAGCAAGCCTGCTGTCCTCTGCTCCTACTACATGAGGATATGACAAGAAGGCATCTTTCTGCAACCCTGAGGCAGCCCTAGCAGAACCATCATGCTGACACACCACCTTGGCTTCCCATCCCAGATCTGTGAGAACTTAGTCCGTAGCCCATTAGCCACCAGTCTGTGGTATCTTTGTCAACAACAGCCTAAACAGTCCAAGGGAGAAAAGGAGCATAATTCGGAACAAATCAAAGAACAAAAGTGCCTTTTCCTTAGCTGTCTGTGAAATGGGGATGAAATAGCTCTTGGAGGCTAAGACTAAGAGAAACTAAGATTTTTCTCTCCCATGATCACAGTTGGCTCCCAAGGTGAGCTGGCAAACGTGGATGTGAAGTTTACAGTTCCCCACTCACATCCCCACAGGAGGTGCCATATTGGATGCAGCAGAGAAGTGGAAGTCTTCAGCTCTGGCCCGCTGCCGGGACCAGTCCCTGTGTTAGAAGTAATCTGTGGAGGACGCAGAGGTGCTTGAGGGGAGGCCATGCCCAGGACTAGTGCACTGTGTAGGGAGAGGTGCTTTTTAGGGCTGTGTTCTGCTTCTCTCTGTTTTTTGTGTTAATTGGTGATACAATTGGTATTGAGAGCCAGGATTCAATTCTCTCTCTCATGCTGAAAGACATGAATTTAGAAGCTGGTTTTCCCCATGGTGTGAGGATGTCGGGTTCACTGTTAACACTCTCTTCTACATGGATTACTCCTGCCTGGGACAGGTACAGACTATGAGGTCACTCACACCTGTTTCCAAGTCTCGACAATGCCTGAGGGCAGTGATTCTGCAAGCGTGGTCCTCAGAGCATCAGCATCTCCTGAAAGCCTGTGGGAATGAGATTCTTGGGACTTTCCCAACACCTTCTTTATTTGAACTTCTGGGATAGGGCCCAGCCACCCACTCTGGAACAAGCTCACAGGGATTCTGATGCACACTTAAGATTGAGGACTGCTGCCCTGGGCACTTTGTTCTGAACAACGAGTAAGTGTCTCTCTCAGAAAGGTCTTAATAGGCCAAGGCTAAGGCTCAGAGCAGCCCCACACCCTCCTCTGAGCTCAATGAACAGTCCCCCAGGTTGCCAGCCACTCCCATCTTCACTGTACGTGTCCCAGTAGAGGATACTGTGAAAAGCGTCCCTCCACAGCACTGAACTGAGCACCTGAGCAGCCCCTGCTGGACCAGTCCATCCCAGGCCCAGGGCAGCTTCAGGAGCCACAGACAAGGTCCCTTTCCTGCTCTCCCATCTCCCTCTCCATGATTTACACTCAGCACTGCAGGGGTCCCTGATGAAATCTACTTGAGAGATCAATACCCTCTCTTTTTTACACACAAGGACACCAAGATGTGGAGAATCAAATAAACTGCCACAGAGTTATTAAGGGATGGAATTGGGCCAATCCATCCAGTCTAACTCCCGAATCCACTGGGAAATAGGGGCATTCCTGGGATGCACACTTTGAAAATGCTGCTCTGAGAATCACTGTCTACATAAGTTGATAGCAAGTGTCGGAGTGCCCTGGAGTACCAACTGCCATCCATCTGTCCCTGTGTTTTCCCAAAGGAGGAGATGGATCTAGACAGGAATAAATGCAGACACAACTCTCATTTCAAGGTGAATACATTTCGATTTCTCTTAATCTATTTGCTCTTTAAATTTTTCTCCAAACTAAAGGCTCCACGCTCTACTCTGCACACCTCCCTGGGATATCTAGCAGGCATCTCCCCAGGAGCACATTCACAGAGCCCCTCATTGCTCACCCCAGCCTGCTCTTCCCTGTTCTTCCCTGTCCCTGTAAATATGCCACAGCAGTGAAGCCAAACCCTGATGGTCACTCTTTACTTCTTGCTTTCTCCTATCTCCCATTTCTACTTCATCAGCAAGTCATGGTGGTTCTACTTCCAGAATATATTCTACATCTGTCCACTTTGTCCCCATCTCTACTGTAATCACCTAGTCAAGCCACATCCACCCCCCAATTAGCCTTCCCATATTTATCATCTGTTTTAGTCAGCTCTTTTGCTGCTGAGACTAAAAAACCTGACAAGAACAATTTTAGAGGAGAAAAAGTCATTTGGTTTCAGACGTCTCAGTCCATAGACAGCAGACTCCGTTCTTTGGGGCTGGAGGTAAGGCAAAATATCATGGTGGAAGAGTGTGGTAAAGGGAAGCAGCTCACATGATGATCAGAAAGCAAAGAGAGAGAGAGAGAGAGAGAGAGAGAGAGACCCCACTCTCCAGATACAAAATATAAACCCCAAAGGCACACCCCCAGGGACCCACCTTCTCCAGCCACACCCTACCCACCTTCAGTTACCACTCAGTTAATCCCTATCAGTGGATTAATTCACTGGTCAGGTTAAGGATTCCATGACAATCATTTCTCCTCTAAACTTTCTTGCACTGTTTCACACATGAGCTTTTGGGGGACACCTCACATCCAAACCATAACATCATCCCACCTCCTAAAATCCTTCCCACATATAGACTGAGTAAACTTTTGAAAATACACATTGGCAGGGCTGGGGGTATATAGCTCAGTGGTAGAGTACTTGCTTAGTAGTCACCAGGCCCTGGGCTATTGCCCAGTACCACCAAAAAAAGTAAGTAAATAAATAAATAATTATTTTAAAATAACAAAAATGCACGTTGGTCTATATCACTCTTGTTATCGTCTTGGAGCTCCCTTGGCCCATTTGAAATAAAACCCAAATTCCTCCTATAGGCCTACAGAGACCTCAGCAATCAGCCCTCGGTTGTTCCCTTCTTCACTTTCTCCACATCCATTCCTTGTGCACCCTCTTCAGCCACTCTGGCCTCCTGCTCTTCAAGCAGAACTTATATTCCTTATTCTTTCTACTTATTTGTTCACTTTTTTTTTTTAATGTCCTTTCCACTAAAATGTCAGCTTAATGAAGATGACCTCATCTCCAGGCCTTGCACATAGTAGGTGATCAACAGGTAACTGTTGAGTGATTGATGGGTTGTTTCCAGTCCCAACATGGTTGTTGCACATACCGTGTTACCTGGCTGGTGCAATTGATCTTCTAAATGAAGGGATCTGGCTTAAAAAAGAGGAAGACAACTGTGAAGATCTGAAGGAAGGCCAAGGGCAGAAAGGGAATTGTGAATTGCACACAGCAAGAAGTCTAGAGAACAAAGGTCTCGTTCTCACACACAAGCTTTTATAACAGAATCCTTGGGATACAAGAGGAAAGGGGAGACAGAGATTGAGAAACTGGAAGCAGAGAGAAACAGACAGAAAGACACATTTCTGTTCAACAGTGGACTCAAGTCTTCCACCAAACAGCATATATATGTATATTTTCTGGGGAGAAGAGTAATCAAAAGCCCATTTTATTATGTACAAAGAAAAGGAGAACAAGCAAGAGGAGCAGCTTTGCCAAGCTGAGCATGAGGAGAGCTCTCCACAGTCGCAGGTCTGCCAGCTGGTTCCATGGCATCCACCGGGGCCCAGTTGGCTCTTGAATCCTCACGTGCAATAGGGCATGTCTTCCAGGAAGCCTTCTGTGGTCCATGTGAGGTGCTGCTGCTTAGGCAGGAAGTGAAAGTGAGCAGAAGCACGCAGGGCGTACGAGCTGCAGCGACACCTCTCCCTGCAGCCCTCACATCAGCCAGAACGACCTAGAGCTCCTGGGGGGGGACACCAACGCAGAACAAATGGGTTTCTTTTAACTTGAACTTGTTTTAAAATGTAAGCAGTGTTGTGCACACATACCCCTAGTTTATAGAACAGAAAAACTTCATAAAGTGGCCCACGAACAGAGGTTTTTCTAAATAGTCATCATGTGATTGATGGCTGTTTCTATTTCAAGCTATCATTATAGGAATTACATTTTGTGTTTTTTTAAAGGGCTTTTAAAAAGAAATATCTTAAAAGAAATTATAACTGGAATAATTTCAAAAATAAATCTGGCAAGAAATATTCCTCCATGATTTAAAAAGAAAAAGAATGAATTGGAAGAGATCATTTACTCGTATCATCTTTCCCTATAACCCATTTCTACATCACACGATGGCCCTGCTGCCAGCTTATCATCAGGGTAATGGCCCAGACACAGAAAGACAGCCCTGATTCAACTTCCAGCTCCAACATGCCCATTCTGGGTGAGGCACTTAATATCTGAGCCAAGCTTTTCTCATCTGTAATATGGGGGCCATAGAATTATCATAAGGATTAAATGAGAAAATGAATGTAAAACATCTGGCACAGAGTAATGTGCAATGCACAGTCATAATAATTTTTATTTAAATCATCCATGATGTGCCTCTGCCGTGGCAGGCATTGTTTAAGGGGCTAGAGATTGTACCAGGCTGCCCTGAGCTGGCACAGGTTGTACAAAGGCAGATCCCCCACCATTGGCTTCCTCCTCCACAGGAACAGACACCTGGAACTGGCAGGAAACAATCTGGGGCCATATTTTGTAGCCCTAACTGTGAAAAATAAAATGGGAAAAACTTACTCTCTAATGAAACAAATAGTATTTATTATTATGACTTCACACTTTACTAATACCCGGTCATTCACCATAAGAATAAGTGATTAAGAAGTCAACTAAGTACTTAGCAAATGTTCAGTGCTATGCCAGGTGGAGTGGGCAATGTAGAAGGTCTTATTCCTGCAAGTAAGTAGCTTAAAATCTAACGAGGGAGTCAAGATACATGATATGGGGACAAAAATATATATTCGTGCTAATCTGCACGATACATGAAGTCCAGGCCGAGCTGTCTTTGCACAGCAGATGAGGACTGTGGAAACCACCCGCCCGCAGGGCCGTGGGAAGCAGTTTCAATATCAGCATGAATGATCATTCCAGAACTTGAAAGAGGCTTGTGAGAACATAAAAATCTCTCCCATAGTCGATTGTGAATGTACAGGAAAATGAAAACAACAAAACTGACGTGTCCTCAGTGCACCTTAATGAAAACCTTAGAGACACCGCAGACTCCAGCACCCTGCTTCTTCCAGAACTCATCCAGGGCAGCCCACAGCACTGGTCTTTCCTCTACACAGCTCACCATCTCTTTCCTACACGTGGCACCTTGTCATGTTCCTTTCTACGTTTAGATTCCTTCCCCACAGTGTAGTGTCTGCCCTTTTACCGTCAGGACATTTCTCCGAAGGTTTCTTTAATGTGAAGTGTTTTCCTGCATCCTGCCCAGCTGCAGACCCAGAGGCTCTGCAAACCCTGCAGTGTCCCAGTGGCCCCATCAGCTCTGTCCTCAGTGGCGCCATCCACCCTGAACTCAAGTGGCACCTCCAGCACCGTCACTTTTCATTTCCTCCTGCACTTTCATCTCTGTTTCGATTCACTCCTTTGATAGCCCCTTGCAGAAATATCACCAGGGAGAATCACTGGGAGATAAGCAGGAAACATAGCTGCTCGCCTTGCTCTCTAAGGGTGACAACCACAGACACATAGGGGCCCATCCCTGTCTCTAGGAAGTGACTTGTTGTCCAGGGATCCTGATGTGCATTCGCTATTTACATAGTGATTTGTGTGTAGCGGAGTTTGTACTTTATACAGTTAATGATGAATAGACCTTGGTAACTGAAACTTGAATTCTTAGTGGAGAACAGGCATTATTTAATGAAAATGTGGTAGATGAAGTTCATGCATATCCTGGATCATGCAAAGAGAGAACTTCCTGGATCATTTTATCTCTCCCAGCTTTTAGCCTGTATCAATGGAAAGTATGTTCCCACAAAAGACGCTCCCATACACTATAACTGAATTGGATTAAACATGAAAGTTAATGAGGGTAATATATAAAAGGAAGTGTTCAACATGTACCTTAACGTAATGCACATAAACCTGATCAATGTCTATTAAATCACAAATTAGCACACCTTGTACAGGGTCACCGAGGCCAAAGAGCAAGGGCCTCTCAGGGTTCCCAATATTTATTCTACCTTTTTTTCAACTTATTTTTGCCTTTTCTTTTTCTTTTTACTGTATTGAAATCCAGGTCAAATTACATGTAATACATTGTACAAAGCACCACAGAATCCAACTTTTTTAAAAGCCATTCTCCGGGCTAGGGGTAGAACTCAGTGGTAGGGCACTGCCTCACGCATGTGCGTTCCCGGTTCCATCCAAGCACCAAAAACATAAGATAAAACAATTCTCTATCTCCCTACTCCTCTTTTGGTACTGGGGATTGAACTCAGGGACTCTCCAGCACTGAGCCACATCCCCAGCCCTATTTTGTATTTTATTTAGAGACAGGGTCTCACTGAGTTGCTGAGCACCTCACTTTTGCTGAGGCTGGCTTTGAACTCGTGATCCTCCTGCCTCAGCCTCCAAATCCCTACTACATTTTTACCTACCCATCCTCCCACCTGGAAAATATTTTTATACTCTTAAAAATGATAATGTCATGGGGTGGAAATTGAGATGATTTTCCCTACATTCAGATTTATGCTGTTTTGATTCTTAATGATGAACACTGGCAAACATGTAATGTTTACAAAACAATAGTAGTTTTCCCAAACACAAATAAAAAAATAATAAAAGAAACATTTTTAAAAAATAGTTTTAAAAAATTCCTTTAGAATTTTCTTGAGTGGTCTCGTTAATTTTCTTTGAATTTCTTTGAAGAAGACACACAGTGGCAACTCGAATGGCAATGCTAGTCATTGCTTTTTCCCACCTTAATCAATTGATGGTGCTGATTCCTCTTTTTAAGAGGAATTGACTGACAGTAGTCATGGGTCCAACACTCAAATCCTGCTTCTTTACATTATCTCCTGCTCTGTGCTAGACTAAAACAATTACTCTCCTACTAGTAAAGACCTTGTCAAATTTAACTTTTGTTGAAAGATAAAATTAATATTTTTTCATGGTTAAAGAGCTGGTTTAAAAGGCTGCCTGAGAAATTGATCCAGGACTTTGGTCTGGGCAGATTCTTTGGATATGACCCCAAAAGTATGGTGACAAAAGCAAAGGTGACAGGGTTTCACCCAACCATAGTCTTCTGCAGAATGGAGGAAGCACTGGACAGAGAAAGAACAGCTCCTGTGGATCAGAAGGAGATAACTGCAGATTCTCCATCTAGCAAGGGATTATTTCACGGAACATATAAGAAACTCAAACAATTCAACAGCGAAAGAAAAAAAAAAACCCAAAACAAATCATCTGATTTAAAAATGGGCAAGGGACCTAAATAGACATTTCTCAAAAGAGGGTATACAAATGGCCAACAGGTGTAGGAAAGGTGCCCAACATCAGCAATCAGGGAAATGCAAATCAAAACCACAAAGAGATATCGTGGGACTCCAGTTAGAACGGCTGTCATCAAAAAAACAACTAACAAACTCTGGTGAGGGTGTAGAGAAAGGGGAACTCTCATGCACTGTTGGTAAGAATGTAAATTAGTGCAGCCATTATGGAAAACTGTGGAGTTTCCTCAAAAAAAAAAACTAGAGGGGCTGGGGATGTGGCTCAAGCGGTAGTGTGCTCGCCTGGCATGCGTGCGGCCCGGGTTCGATCCTCAGCACCACATACAAACAAAGATGTTGTGTCCGCCAAAAACTAAAAAATAAATATTAAAAAAAAAAAGAATAAAAAATTATTAAAAAAAAAAAAAAAACTAGAAATAGGTCTGGGGTATAGCTCAGCTGATAGAGCTGGTATGCACAAGGCCCTGGGTATAATCCCCAGCACCACACACACACACACAGAGAGAGAGAGAGAGAGAGAGAGAACCCAAAAACCTAGAAATAGAACCACCATATGATTCAGCAATCATACCACTGGGTATAAATCCAAGAATTGAAGAGAATATGCCTAAGAGACATCTATACTCCCATGTTTATGGCAGCTCTATTCACAAGAGCCAAGACAATGAACCTTAGTGTCTACTGACAGATGAATGGATAAAGAAAACATGGTATATGGCCCAGTGGAATACTATTCAGCCATAAGAAGAATGAAATTCTGCCATTTGCAGCAACACAGCCAGCACTGGAGGACTTTATGTTAAGTGAAATAGGTCAGGCACACAAAGACAGGTAGGACGTGTTCTCCCTTACAGGTGGCTACAGTTTGGATAAGACTTCCAAAGGCCCACATGTTAAAGGCTTGGGATTGGTGCCCAGACCATGGTGTCCTGAGAGGTGTGAAATCTTTCAGAGGTTGGGCCCAGTTACAAGTCTTCTAGACATAGGAGGGCGTGCCCTTAAAGGGGGCCTTGTGCCTCTGGCCCATCCTCTTCCTCTCGTTTTGGTTCCTAGCTGTCCAGAGTAGGTTGATCTACCATGTGCTGACTCACCACAAGCTGCAAGCCACAGGGCCACCTAATCAGGGACTGGTTCCTCTGAAACTGAGAGCCAAAATAAACCTCTTTTTAAGTTGGTTACTCAGGTATTACAGTCATGGAAAACTGACTAACACACGTGGAAGCTAAGCAGTTGACCTCAAAGAAGTAGGGAATAGAATAGTGGTTACCAGAGTCTGGGGAGGATCTGGGGGAGGGAGATGGCAGGAAGGGGAGGTTGTGCTTACAGAGGTTACAGCAGTTGGATGAGAGGAACAACTTCTAATGTCCTATAGCATGGTAGGATAACAATGGTTGTCAACGATTAACTCAATATTTCAAAATAGATAGTAGAGAGGGTTTTGAATGTTCCC